TTCACTTTCCTCCCAACTATATCACCGACGGTAGGCCACGAGGAGGGAAAAGCCAGCGAGGGGCGGCGCCGGCAAAGGGGCGGCGCGGAGGGGCGACGCCGGCGAAGTCGCGGCGGCGTCATATGCGCGGGCGGCGGCCTTGGCGGAGTCGTGGCGGCGTCGTAGGCGCGGGCGGCGGCCTCAGCGGAGTCGTGGCGGCGTCGTAGGCGCGGGCGTCGTCCTCGGCGGAGTCGCGGCGGCGTCGTAGGTATGGGCGGAGGCCTCGGCGGAGTCGCGGCGGCGTCCCTCGTAGGCGCGGGCGGTGGCTACCTCCCCTTCCCCCGACCCCAGCCCGCCGCCATCGCCTCGAGGTCGGCGGCGCGGAGTGCGCCGATGGCGACGACGTTCTGCGGTCGGAGCTCCGGCTCGTCGTCGCCGTTGCCATCGCCGTTGCCGTCGCCACCCCGCTCAAGATCCCGGAGAGTCGAGGGGAAGACGAAGGGCGGCGAAGCCAGAAGGACGACGGCAGCGGCGGCGCCGGGAGGAGGACGGCAGAGGGAGCACCGGGAGGACGACGGCGGCGGGCAGGGAGGGAGCTGGGACGGGTGGGGAAAGGGTAAGAGAGAGGAGAGAGGGGTGGGACCCACACCAGATGGCCAGCCGTCCTGGCTAGCCAACTTTGGCTTAGTGAGGTGGGGAATTTAGCCAGCCGGATAGCTTGGAGAGCCATTTGGCTAGTCTGTTGGAGTAGATTTTTTTGTCCAAATTAGCTAAAATTTAGCTTGGAGAGTCATTTGGCTAGTCTCTTGGAGACGCTCTTAGTCGTTAGATATACTAGAGTCTGCGACACGCCCCTATCTAGCACATCTCCAACTTTTTTCCTTCAAACTTCAACTTTTCCGTTGGAACTTTCCTACACATATAAATTTCTAACTTTTTCGTCACATCGTTTCAATTTCTTCAAATTTTTAATTTTAGCATGGAACTACCTTAGTTATTTAACAAAGTAAAAAAGTTAGCTAGTTGATATGACATCGTTTTTTAATATATAACATCGTTGACTTTTTAATAAACATTTGACCGTTCGTCTTATTAAACTTTTTTTTGCAAATACAAAAATATTTAAGTCACGCTTAAAAAATATTTGATGATAAATTCACAATACACTTAAATAATTTTTTTAATAAGACGAATGGTCAAACATATCTTTAAAAAAAGTTAATGGCGTAATATATTAAAAAACGGAGAGAGTAACAAGTTTCCTCCTTGCGGAACCAATCTATACCGTACACGTACAGAAAAACTACACGGTAAAACAAATACAGTATCTGCTACAGCAATCCTACTCGGCATGCCTGGTTTCTCTCCCTTCTGAGATGCTTGATGGCTTGGAATATCTAGACCTCGAGGACATTGCCGATGGCGGCCCAACTCCGTGAAAGCTTCTCTGCCTCTTGTTGTACCCGCAATGGCGTGTTTGCTCGCACCAACTGTTCCTGATGTCTTCCAAGCCTAATAAATTCACTTTAGATATACCATCACAGAGCCAAGTCGTCCCAACCATATGGACAGTGTGTGTGCTACACGAACGAGGAGCCTGATGCACACCAACTTGTGTGGATTCATAGTAGCATGTATTCATAGTACTACACGAACGAATGTAGTACTGGAAGTGATATATTTTATTTAGAATATAAAATATATCATATCCAATACTAGATTGGTTTTTTTACGAGACAAAGGGAGTACGCATGTATATGGCCCGACCAGCATGCATGGCAGCATCCATTTCGATCTTCCCAATCTGCCTTTAATTTCCTGCCTAATTAATTTATGAGCATTGGCATCAAAAAGGAAAATTGCTACCATTATCGAGTAGTTGCGCTAGCTGGGGGCCAGGATCAACTACGAGTTCTGCAATAACTTGGCATTCCTAAATCTCACACCCGCAATATTGGTTGCTCGACTTGTCGATCATGTGTAGTGCTCTAAATTTCTCTTTCTTATTAATTAAAGGTTTCAGCTGGCATCTTTCCACCAGCCTGTGAAATAGTATTGTAGAATAATTTTTTTGCTATTAGATAAAAAGCATGTAATAGGCATTAAAATATTCTTGCTACTAGATAATATACATTTTAGAAGTGGTAAATAGCTACTACCAAGCCATAAACTTACTAGTAGGACATAAACAATTTATGGTGAATTCCACCTTGTTGTTTTAATTGTATCAAGGCTCATCTTATATATAGTTGGACTTTTCTTTTTTTTAAGAAAAAGATAGCTTCCACCTTATTTTCAACCTACAAGTATACATTGTAGAGCCTCTTCAATCTATTAATGCTACCTGACACGAGTCACCTTAGCTTATTGCATCGTTGGATAGTAAACATTGAGAATGGCCTAGAGATGGAAGCCTCTCCGTTGAGGTAACATGCGCGTGAGCCTTGAAGTAACAGAGATATTGTTAATTAGCCTCTCTATTGAGGTACCGAGCCACGCCTTAGCGCGCATGCATGACCAATGATCGCCTAACACATGAAGGATCACACTAGCTGGCATGTCGAATGCTCCTGATGCCTTCCAAGCCCCAATGCACCCAACCTAACTATCTGTACATACATGTATATGTTGCATCTAATTTGGCATGCGTAACTTGCACTCTCTACCTAGCAAAAAAGCCGCCCATCTAGCATATATATATGGGTCTTCTCTCTAAAATTTTGAAGTAACCATAGATACCTAATCATTTAATTTTTCGGTCTACTACTTTTTCCGTATTTGTCATTTTCTTTGGGTAATTATCCTTGTCATCACACAATCTAATTATTAAATGTGTTTTTCTCTCTCTGAAAAGTCTGGAAAATTTGATACTCGAAACAGTCAACCAATACATTGCAGATGGCCAGCAATGCATAGCAGGCATCTATTATCTATACTAGGTGAAACCCCACGTATTGCTGCGGGAATTTAGTATGATAACAACAAAAAAAATAACGTGTAAGATATCTAGATAATATCAGATTAAGTAAATTAATGTGATTTATGATAATTTAAATTTAAATAGTATGTAGAATGGTGATTCAAACGTAAAAAGTAAGATGATATGAATTTATGAAAGAAGAAAAATAGGGAGTTAGTTTGAACCGTAGACTAATCATCTAAAGACTAAAAACAATTGATGTGATATGACTTAATTAGAGGAAAAAAAGGAGAAAGATAATTTGGACCATAGATTAATCATTTAATCACTAACTAAGTGAGGATGAACTATATAAATATATAGGATATCATAAAACATAATAGATATACATTGAAACATTATGTGAATTATGTTGGATGATAATTTAACATGTTTGTATTTGAAAATCTCTTAAATTATAAAAACTATAAAGATATAGCATGTTTGTATAATATTTAAATGTGATGATTGTTAGTGGATGATGATGTGTCATCTTTGCATGTTAAGCTTAAGGAATTAGTGGGGGATAACTTTATAGTAAGATAGGATATGCTTCGTGCTTGTGCGCTTCTTACTGCACAACAAACTTAATTTTTCTCCATCTGCAGCTTAAGCTTGTTTTCTCCTAAAGATAGGACAGAGCAAACAATTCTGTCCCAAAAATTAAAGGAATATTTTGTTGAACCAGGTTGAGGCAATAAGAGATGCCAACCTTTTTTTTTATTTGCCATTAGGTTGAGGTGAGAAGAGATGCCAACCTTTTTTCTTATTTGCCATTATGTTAAAAATAGTTATATTTTGAGACAGAAGGAGTAATAGTAGTATGTAGTTAACGCCTAGCACGTGGAATACACTGGAACGGACATTAACTTAGTTAACGCCTAGCGTCACGGTGTTCTCTCCTCTATCGAAATCTACCGCTCGCCACTAATAATATTATTTTCTATAAATGTTAGTTTGGAGCTAGATGATTCTTCGGCCAAATACAAGTCATCTCATAATTATCGTTCAGTACACCATGACAATAAATTAGTAATAGGCATGAGACATCTGTCGGGAAAAAAAATAGCTGATGAATTCCGTCAGTAAAGGTTGCTGACAAGCTATATGTTAGCACATGAGTGCTTAATTTGCGGACAGATTCTAAGATAGAGAATTTAGGTCATAGTATTGTAATCATCGACAAAGAAGGGAAGGTGATACTGCCTGCCGCAGACACAAACATAGTACCAGAGGACCAATAGTGGTTTCTACCCAAGCTCTGCTAGAAAAAGAGTCAATCTATTCTATACCATGAACAAACCGTGAGATCTACGGTATGTCTGTGACGCCCTTTATCAATGGCATATAATGTATTATCTCTTTCAGTGGCCTCAACGAGATGAACACCAGCATTGCTTGCACCATGCTCTGCTCATTTGGATGAACACCATTCCGTGCATGCACAACAGAGGATTTACTCGGACAACCTATATACTGTCGCTCAGCAACGATTCCCGACGCATTTCAAGCCAAGATATATAGCTAGACAGATGCCACAGAACGATGATTAGCTCGCACGTGTACATAGCGATGAGCCGGAGGCGTTGAGCACACAGATTTTGTAGAGCAGCAATCATATGTATAGAGCTTTTTTACGGTACATTCTACCACTAGTATATACTACCAGTATATTTGATCTAACGGTCTAAAATTCATCTGATCTCCCTTCCAATTATCCTGTAGTATAAATTGAAAAGGATATATTTGTCTTTTTATCTAAATGTGTGAGGGTAATTTCGTGATTTCACGTTTCATCACTGGTCAGATCCGATCCATGGGCGCCCCTTCGTGGAAGTCGTGCCCAGTCGTCTTCCTCTTGAGAGCAGCGAGCGCCGCCACGCCGCCGCCGTCAGCCACTATCGTCGCCGCCGCCATCGGGAATCGAATCGATTTCCCTCCTCCTTTCCTCCTCTCGTGTCTTTTCCGACGACCCAAAAGCCTAGTTCTTGAGGGAGGCGACGGGCAGGCGGAGCCGCAGAAGGGCGCATGCCACTGTGCCATAGGCGTGCAGCTTCGGCAGCTCGCAGCGGCAAGGGCAGTCGGGCGGCGGCAGGTGGCAGCGGCAGGGCAGGGCTGATGGGTGGTGAAGAGATAAATTTTTTTGAGAACTTCGGAACATTCCAAATTGAAAGGTTGAAATTTATTGTTGAAATTGCATTTGTGTAATTGTTTGTGCCGTTTCTGCTGATATTGTAGTATATTGCACAAAATGGTACACACACAATTGTTCTGAGCAAACTATTGAAAACACTTGCCAAAATAATAAAGGAACAATCCATTTTTTCAGTAATACTAACTCCTTATATTAAAGGAATTAGAACAAAGACATTTATTTCGGACAGTATGTTGGGAGGTGTAGCATGTATTAGATCTTCCTTTTATCGTTCTTCTTGCGAGCGTCCCCCAAGATTGCAGCTAACTTCCTTCTAAAATTTTTTATATCTTCCTGCAGAATTCATATAGGTATTTATTAGATAGAAACAATCAATTGGAGAAAGTAAAGATGATGCAGAAATATTTAGTGCATCTTACATGCGTGTATTCCTTCGACAACCTATTGCCTTGACAGTGCTCCATGTTTTTTAATACAAACAGCCCACATGAGACACTGGAAGAATTGAATTATATTAGACAAGTGATAACATACATTTAGGTAGTGAAAAAAACTATTATTGTAGTGGCTGCATAACATACAGATCTCCTTGTAATGGCAAATTCTGTACGACCGTGACTTCCCAGGAAGTAATTTTTTGGTCAGGCCATTGAGTTGGTATGTGCTTTTCATCTGGTTCCAACATCTGAAAATATTGCTCTACTCCTTCTAGCTGTTATGTGAGAAAATGTCATTACTGCGGTATGTTGATGTCCTTTTTGGTTTATTTCTAAGTAAAATACTTACAACTTTTCTTAGTTCCTTGTGTTGTGTGGATGAATTCGCCACGGAGTCAAGCACTTGGATGATGCGGCGTTTGGCGTGTATGACTGCCTGGTACCAATGGTTTTTCTTTTATGTTCATGGGGAGGAAAATCTGTACAAAGAAATCATTTTTAGGATATATTAGTAGTATAGAGTTGTTGAAAATTTCATAGTATTGTGGCATAAATATTACCATATCATGCTTTAGATATCTATTTGCCGTTGCTTTAGCCATTGCCCGATCGATGATGTCTTTGGAAACGTAGTGTTCGCCATCTCTTTGTAGCAACCTTGTTATTAACGGTTTCTCTGGGAACACCGTACCTTCTGCCCTAGTCCTTGTACCTTCCTTCATATCTTTCTCACGTAGACAAGTAACGTATGCATCGATTATCTAAAAGTAGAGGAAAATGCCAGGTTTTGATTGTGCTAGTAGTTGCATGAGACAATAGTTTCACGGGTTAGTAAACTTACATGATCATCCAAATAGCTCATGCTTGATTCAGTCACCGGATTAGTCAGAATTTGCGTTGTTTTTTGGGAAATTGAGACATCATCGATATGCACCACTAGTTGTGATTCTGGTGCACTCATTATACTTTTAATGGTTTCCTCATCTTCTGCGGTGCACTTGAACTCTGCCATTGAAGTTAAATCTGTAAGTGAACCGCAACAGAAAAATTAAGCGGAGTAGGATGTGATGATAATTATAGGACTTTTACCATTGGATATTAAATTATGTGCTTGCGCATTCTTTGGTTTCTTCTTTGTAGCCCCTAAATTGTAGACGAAATCAGTATTTGATTTAATTGTTGATTTACGCAGTCTTCGTGTTGATCCTGAAAGTGACTTGGCAATGACAGGCGTTTGAGTTGGTGGGTTTGGTTTCTGCAATACAATTGGCATGTTAAAAATAATTAGTATTAAATTTGACAGACGCGGAAGAAGTATCCGCATAAGATGCTGTCTTACCTTTTTTTTTAATTATATGTGTTTCTTTGTTGGAACTTTTGCAAACATTTGGCTTAGAGTTCTTGGAAGTTGTTGATATTGTCTTTTCCTCTTTGAATGCAGCTATTATGTTGGTGAGTGATTGAATTTGGTTATGCATGGACTGTTGATTCTGTTTCATCTCCTTCATCTCCTTTCCTTGCTGTTCTATCAGCATGATTAGTTTTCGGGTCAGCGTCTCAGTTTCTGGGCTATCCTGCATAATATGCGTTTGTTAAGTTATGAGACATATGCTGTTGTAATTCAAATAAATAGTAATGATGTAACCATGGCTACTATAGATACAACCATCGTCCACATCAAGATCAAGCCGTCCAAGTTCTGCAATCCAGTTCGGCCACCTGCTACAGTGTCGACTTCAAACGGCCACCAAATATGCATGCGAGCTCCATTTTGGGTCCATGAGTACTTGATGGAAAGCTCTCGGAGTCATCTTTCCAATGGATCTAGCTTCATCGCCAAATTCCATCCCAGTCGGCCGAAATCACAAAAAGAAGGTGTTGCGTCACTTATAATGGGCCTATGGGCTTGTAACTTCGTCTGAGACCCCGGCCCAAGTGGGGCCTATGTAGGGTGCGCCCCAACCAGGTGGAGCACGACCCTAGGGTCCCCTTAGGTCGTCCTCCCACCTCCTTAAATAGTTAGGTACCCCTTTAGAGTTTCTTGGGTTTTGGTAGATTAAAGTTTAGCCATTGCTACTTGCTTGCAGCGCGCGTGTCGGCTAGACTGTCCGTCTGCTTGTTCTTCGGAACCCCAAGTTATCATTTGTATTAAATTCCTATTTGCAATATCAGATTGCTTTTATCTTGTTCTTGCTTGTTTCTTCGATTTGCTTGCAGGAATAGGATTGATCTGCATCGGTAAGATCAACAACCCACGGAGAGGTGTATCGATCGCTAAGGCGCAACACAACGTCTCGTATGGTTGTAGTCGGATCGTCAACGTTTCTCCCAAATCGTAGTTATCACAACTCACCGAAAGATCGGGCCAACAACAGCCTTGAGTGTCGAGAGGAACTCAGGGTCCATCAGGTGGTATCAGAGCTTTCGTTGCTTGGTGAGTTTTTATCTACCCATAACCAGAAAAATAGCCAAAAAAAATTGCATCATTTACCTAGCCATATTGTGCCATTGCATTGTTCATTTTTCTTTTTGCTTTGTTGAGTTTTGCGTTACATCGTTGAGTCGTGTTGCTGGTCTTAGCGTTTAGTCCGTTTAGAGTTTCGAGTTCTGGTCACGTTTAGTACCACAGTCGTTGTCGCCTCCGTGTCTCTGTTGTCGTCGGGACCTACAAAAACGGAATCGGCTTGCTGTCACGGTTCTATTTTTGTAGTTTTCAGAATTTTTTATCGGTCAGTTTTGGAGTTGCATTTAGGATTTGCTTGAGTTTCTGGTTTGCCCGTGAATAGATCGGCCTGTGCTTGTTGCCGGTGTAGAGAGGAGGAATAAGAATTTCCAAATCTGTTTTTGGAAGTATGAGAGTTTAATCTGGAAACAAATAGTAGATCAGATTGATTGAAAATTAGTTTCCCTTTTTCTCTCACCATATCCGGACTCCTAGGTAGTGCCGCATCCTTCCTTTCCTCACCCACCACCACCCCGGGTCCGCGACCAGGCCGAGTCCGAGTGTCTCCTCTCGGTCACGGTTTCAATCTATACCGTGATCTTGCATATTGCTTGGTGAAAATTTTTCGAGTATCGGATTGAAAATCCGTTTGCAAAAATGGAAGCTACAGGACGAGAGGATTCCATTTTTGTATAGTTCTAATTTTGGGTTTGAACTTTTACATTTGAGTCCCTGTAAATTTTATATTTATGTTTGAGTCCCTATAATCTTACATTGAGGTCCTTGAATCTGTTTTTGTAAAATAAAATCAAAAAAAGAAAGAAAAAAAAGGCAGAAAGGTGCATAAAAAAAAGAAAAGAAAAAGAAAAGAAAAGCAGGAAAGACAAAAAAAAAGAGAAAGAAAGAAAGAAGAAAAGGAGAAAATCATTTTGTTATTATTGAGCTGAACTTCATATATTAGAGTTGTGCATGAGTTGTTCCTGGTGCTATCTTGTGGTATCGTTTGTGTCTAGGCTCACGTCTCTAGTACGTTCTAGCCTAGGACCAGCACGGTACTTGACTTTGAACAATTATTCAACTTTGCATTATCTGATTTGAGCATTTGCTATTCCTTTGCTACATATTTAAGCCTACCTAGAGCTCCACAGATTTGATTGCAGCCGTACAGCAAGTGTTTGCCAAGGCATCGATACATCCAATCTCCATTGGGGTGCTTGGTTGAGTCGGTGTATGTCACCATTCCGCTTGCATTGGTAAGATCTTGTAAGAGCTTGGTTAAAAGCTTGAGTGTGTGTGATATTTGAGCTGCCACTACCTAGTAGTTGATAGGAGCGTGCATATTTTTGTGTGTTTCTTGTTTGCTACTAACCATGGCAGGATTGCGTAAGGGAATACGAGAACATCGACTTCTACACCTTCGACGAGATATGACGACTTCTCCACGTGATGCATATGAGGTACATGACTATAATTTTGAACAAGTTGCATCTAAGTTACCATTCTATTATGGAAAGTATGATTCTGTTGCATATATTGATTGGGAGCTAGCAGTAGACAATGAATTTGATATATATGATTTTTCTGATGCTCAAATGATTAAGGCTGCTAGTAATAAGTTTACCTCTTCTGCATTATTTTGCTGGACTTATGTTAGTAATAAACCTAAAACTTGGGATGAATTGAAAACCATGATGAGAAAACGCTTTGTGACTTCTTATTACAAATGTACTCTTCGGGAGAAATTAGAACATCTGAAACAAGGTGATAGAACTTTTAGGGAGTACATTCATGAATTTAAGGTCTGTATCATCTACAGTGGTCTCAAAGAGTGCAATGAAAATACAATGCGTAGATTTTTCAATGGGCTTAATTCTGAAATTCAGGTTTTGCTTGATAATGTGACATATAATCATATTGGGCACCTATTCATGCTTGGTCGTAGCATTGAGAGTCAGATCATATCAACTCTGATACCACCTGATGGACCCTGAGTTCCTCTCGACACTCAAGGCTGTTGTTGGCCCGATCTTTCGGTGAGTTGTGATAACTATGATTTGGGAGAAACGTTGACGATCCGACTACAACCGTACGAGACGTTGTGTTGCGCCTTAGCGATCGATACACCTCTCCGTGGGTTATTGATCTTGCCGGTGCAGATCAACCCTATTCTTGCAAGCAAATCGAAGAAACAAGCAAGAACAAGATAAAAGCAATCTGATATTGCAAATAGAAATTTAATACAAATGATAAGTTGGGGTTTCGAAGAACAAGCATACGGACGGTCTAGCCGACACGCGCGCTGCAAGCAAGTAGTAATGGCTAAACTTTAATCTACCAAAACCCAAGAAACTCTAAAGGGGTACCTAACTATTTAAGGAGGTGGGAGGATGACCTAAGGGGACCCTAGGGTCATGCTCCACCTGGTTGGGGCGCACCCCACATGGGCCCCACTTGGGCCGGGGTCCCAGACGAAGTTACAAGCCCATAGACCCATTATAGGTGACGCAACACCTTCTTTTTGTGATTTCGGCCGACTGGGATGGAATTTGGTGATGAAGCTAGATCCATTGGAAAGATGACTCCGAGAGCTTTCCATCAAGTACTCATGGTCCCAAAATGGAGCTCGCATGCATATTTGGTGGCCGTTTAAAGTCGACACTGTAGCAGGTGGCCGAACTGGATTGTAGAACTTGGACGGCTTGATCTTGATGTGGACGACGGTTGTATCTATAGTAGCCATGGTCACATCAAGTAACAAAATTTTAGTTTTTTTGACTACCTTGTGTGAAGTGGCATGTGTTGTGCTGTCGACGCGTTGTTCTGATGTTTTTATCTCGCTGTCACTTGCTATGTCTTGGACATTCTATGATGAGATGACAGATTTAATGGATATTAAACCATGCGTTGTGATGTACAATTGAATGTAAGTACAGTTAAATGAAATGATTAACTTATTAGTATGGATGCATGATTCTGATTGTTTGCTCTTCTCGCTGTCATTTGTTACGTCTTGGACATCCTACGATGAAATATCATATTTAATGGATTTTAAACGTTGCGTAGTGATGTATAATTGAATTTAAGTACAGATCAATTATTTGATTACCTTATCAGTAGGGATACATGATTCTGATTGTTTGCTCTCTTCGCTGTCTCTTGTTATGTCTTGGACATTCTATGATGAAAGGATATATGTAATGGATATTAAACCATGTGTTGTGATGTATAATTCAAAGTACATAGAGATGAATAAAATGATTACCTTATCTTTTCGGATTTGTGAGGATTTGGAGCATTCTATAGCAAGTGTGATGTCGTCAACAATCTAGTACAGAATAACTCATTGACGTTAGCTGGTCGAAAATAGTGCTTTGGTAGATGGTAAAAAAGTTAGCTTCCTGAGACTAGTCGTCTGTGTGCCCATTTGATGCTGTTCCCTTCCTTGTTACTTCAGGATGACAAACTACTACATGCATGATATAATGGAAAGCACAAGCAAGCTAAGACATCAGCAGCAGGAGCATAAGTAAATTCACATTTTGAATTAATAGGCTAGACTTAAGTGGGAATAAAATGATTGTATATTACCTTCCCTTTACCATTGTATTATCTTTTTTTTTGCCTTGTGCTTGTCCCAGTATTGAATAAGTGGTTTGTCGCGCATAGTATAATCTATGGTTGGATCCAAATTGTCAGCTCGTAGCTTCTCCCAGTACCATAACTGCAACAAGTACAATTGAGTAAAAACAACTTGTCTTTTGTTGGTACAAAATAATAATTGTGCAGTTGCATTACCTACAAAAGTGGTAGGTTTCCTTCAAGATTGACTCCTTTTTTTATTAATTTTTTTTAATGCTTTTCATTAGGTGGTTTAAAGTCAAGCTTGTCCAGTTAATTGCACTGATTGCATTGACATCCTCTACAAAATTTAGGTATGCCAAGCTTACATACCTTTGAGTAGTTGGGCACAGGAAAACACCGATTGATCACAAAGAGCACAAAACGGCGAATGAAATTGTCGTCATATATACCTTTGTTTGTTTGAAAATACTATTGCAAAGAAGATAATTTTATATGTGCCCCTTGCTTAGATGCTGTCTTGAATTCATCAAACAAGTCCATATTCTTGGTCTTTGGTGGTTCAAATATTTCTTCTCCTTGTGATGGCAGGTCAAGCAAATGCTCAGCGTCCCTACTGGATAGACTCAGATAGCTGCCTTGGATGTTGAATGCTTCAGCCTTTGTATCAAATTGGTTTGTAATCCACATGCACAAAATACGGTGTACATTTATCCTATGCATCTTCAGCAATCCTCCGAAGCCACATTTGTGTACAGCTTCTCATTGAGAAATACTGAAGGTTGCGATGAGGTCATAAAGGGCATGAATAGAGCATATCTGTGTGCTCTGGTTGAATGAAAACACAATGATTCAATGAAAACACAATGTAATTGTACCGTAACGATTTATCGTATGGTACCGAATAAGTTGTGGATGGATATTTACCTGTTTTTGGGGCTTATTTTGTTTGAAAACCTGCTCTGGTTCGTAGATTGTTGTAGTTTCATCCATTGCGGTTTGCTTCATCATATCTTCTGCAGAGCAATCCTTAGTATTGGAATTACACAGCAATTACATAAAGTGTAGCATTCAGATAATCTTGGAACAAACCTAAGTCTTGTAGCTGACGGGCGATCGAAACGTCGAGATTGGATTTGCTAATGCAAACGATTAGCTATATACAGTAGAGAGGGTAATAATCTGATGGTTTTATCACGTGTGTTGTGGTAAGCGGTTATTTAATTTTGGTTTGCTCGACGGATAACCACCTGTTTGCTCGACCGGATAACCACGTCATTACCTTATCCTCCCATCCACGATCGTGTTTGAGAGGAAAAAAAAGAATCGGCAATCCCCAGTCCCCACGGTGCGGCGTTAATAGCGGCGACATGCACTGCTGCGAGCCCTGCCATGGGCGGCTTGCAGGGAGCAGTTAGTTAGCGATGCCCGATCTGATTCGACCGGATAACCACCTGTTAGCTCGACTGGATAACGACGTGTTAGCCCGTCCGGAAAACGGAATAATAGGGGATGGAAACGAGATATTTAATCTCGATAATTATTTTTTAGTTCGTAAAAAAAAACCGCTCCGCAATATTGTACGAGCGGTCGACCGGAAAACCATGGTTTTCTAAAATCGACCGGGTTCGGACGGACGAGGAATTATTTTTTAGTTCATACAAAAAAAACGCACCGCGATATTGCACGAGCGCTCGACGTGAAATATATTGAATTTTTATAATCGTCCCGGTCCGGACAGACCCGGACTTAATATTTGGTTAAAAAAATCATTCCAGTGTAACATATGCGCGCTCGACGTGAAATATATTGAATTTTTATAACTGTCCCGGTCCGGATAGATCCGGACTTAATATTTGGTTAAAAAAAATCATTCCGCTATAACATATGCATGCTCGACGTGAAATATATTGAATTTTCATAATCGACCCGGTCCGGACAGACCCGGACTTAATATTTGGTTAAACAAAATCATTCCGCTGTAACATATGCTTGCTCGACGTGAAATATATTGAGTTTTTATAATCATCCCGGTCCGGACAGTCCTGGACTTAATATTTGGTTAAAAAAAATCATTCCGCTATAACATATGCGCGCTCGACGTGAAATATATTATAAATAAAACCGCTTCGCTATATTGTAGGAGCGCTCGACTGGAAAACCATGGATTTCTAAAATCGACCCAGTCTGGACGGTCTCGGAATTATTATTTTATTTATCAAAAAACCAAAATATGTCAGTGGCCCAATAACACATGTGACATATCAGCCCACTAGGCCCAATAACTCGTCACCACGTCATGACCTTATCCTCCCACCCATGATCAAGTTTGAGAGGGAAAAAAAATAATCGGCAACTCCCCATTCCCCACGGTGCGGCGCTAATAGCGACGACATGCACTGCGCCGAGCCCTGCCATGGGTGGCTTGCGGGTAGGAGTTAGTTCGCGATGCCCGATCTGATTTGACAGATAAAAAGGATGGACCAGTACCCATTTTCATTCATTAAACAGCTCCTTTCATTCTCCACGAATCTAATCTTTCTCTTTCTCGAAGGTCACCGCCGTCGAATCTCCGCAAGATGTCTGATGTGCAACAGGTGAGTGCAAGTATTTGCTCGCTCATTAAAGTGCAGAGTTCAATATGTGAAATGTTAAGATTTATCGACAACAATTATATGATCATGACTGTTGTTTGTTGCATAACCTCGTGGATAGGATCATGTATGCTGTGTGACATCAACGTAGCAAACTTTCTGTGCTGTCTCCTAATCTATAAATATTACTGTCGTACAAAGAATTGTCAGCGCCGGCAAGGAGGATGCATACTACATTGTTAGTTGTTACTGGTTGTTTCTTGAAAGTCATACCCGATTTGGAATTGGAGTTTTTTTTTTCAGGCATAAATTAGTTTTACACAATTTGATATTACACGCAAGGGTATAACTGTTAATATTCATGAAATCATCTCTAGGCTCTAACTGCGATATGAAGTGTGTAATTTAATCTGCTTAATTGTCTTGGCCTCTTGGGTGGAAGAGATCGGTGCTTGGCAGAACTTGATGCTAGCTCATCTGATCCCTGGACATGATTCTTAGTACACAAGATTAGACTGGATGAGCATCACCTATCTCTTCGTTAACTTTTTTGTTTTTTTCCTTTTATCTGTTCTTTCTGCAAGCACATATCCACTTCAAAGATCATCTTGTCTGAAATGACAATAGCTCTAAATTTACAACATGTTATCCGTGACAGAATGAACTACAATTTTGTTTTCTGCCTCCTTAAAACTTATAGAACATATTCATCTGTAATGGGTGGTCGGCACGCAAGGTGGTGCACGGAGGGTGGGCTGTGGGTGGCGGTGCGGGACGTGGAGGCAGGAGCGGCGAACTCCGGGAGGGAGCCAGAGTTGTTAATAAATAAGAAGAAGATGTGAGAGAGTATAATAGGTGGGTCCCACTATTTTTTTTAAAGACAATGCTAACTGGATTGTCACGCGTACGTCACGTAGAACAAAATCACGTTAGATTGGATCGAGGGGGTAATTCGTCCGATATTGAATGTTCAGGGTGAGCAATGTATGGTTTTCGCGTTAGGAGGGAAATTCATTCTTTTTCCTGTACATAATACTGACATGCATGCTTATGAAGCATCGATCTCTTTTTCATAAGTACTCTCTTCAGCACACAAATAATTAATTTCAAAAACCAAAAATTTCGTAACACAAGTGCATGTAGATCGACATATAGCCTGACACATGTATGGATGTAATTAAGTAGGTTAGGGATGTGGGGGGTTCTCATATATGAGCCCTATTAACCCCCTATTAAACCCCTCCGGTACTGTTCGACTTTAATTTCCTTGCTCTCTTTTTTTTTAATGCAGCAAAATCTTGATTCATTATTTGATAGATCATTTTATGTACCCCACTTTATGTCCATTTACATACAATCATCGCCCAATTTTACTTATGTATCACTATCTGTTTAATTTATGGCCCCATGACATATTTGCAAATGAAAAATAACTTATGAATAAAACTTTTATATACGTGTTCTTAGCGATCTAAAAGCAAAGACTGAAAAATAAACTTGGATGAAAAAAAATATTAAAATGAATTTTAACTCCAAGTTTAAGGTTGAATTCAAATTTTAGCTTATAAGCATAAGCATAATTAAGAAAAAGGATGAAGCTATCAATCAGTGGTCGTTACTGATGAGGACGATGAACAAAACAAAATAATAGTGCAGCTGATCTCAGCTAGCTAACTAACATTAGATACTTAATCGGGCGGACATGGGATGTGTGACACACACTACTGCAGATTCTATCCCTCGTGTATTCATCCTGCAGCCAACTGATATCGCTAATTTGACAATCAGGAAAAGCATCGCCTCTAAGAGACATAGGCTAGGAAACATCAGGGTCTCCGTAGTAGTGATAATCAGAGCATGCAGCGTGCAATCGAAGACGCACACCAACAATTTAGTATGAGCTTTGCCTCCCATATGCACAAATACCCATCTCCTGATGCCTCATAATCCTTAGCACACGAATAGTTGTAAGGCCATGGTATATATGCATGTTAATTAGCATTCGCGCTAGCTATATAATTCTTCCACAATACTAACTTTTAGCTAGCCCTTGTAGTCGTTCTATCCGGATCGAGATATATATATATATATATATATATACGCACCTCAACCATCTAAATAGGCTACTGCATACATAAATAAGAAGGCCAATTAATTAATATGACCTACAATGGTTGGGTAAATTAAAATAAATCAAATGGGTCCACGTACTATTACACCCTGGTGCTACATTAATTATTTACGTAGAGCATGGCAAGTGCATATTCTTCATAACTATGTCGAATCTGTACGTATGGCATAGTCAAAAAGAGCTTTATTATTGATTTGAGACAATGGAAACATTTCACTTCATTTGCTAAGAAATAATATTGACAGACGATGTGTGGTTTACATTAAATTGTTTTAGCTCTAGCCTCAGAGCTCAGAGGTGTACAAATTCTTTACTACTCCCGTCCCGTAATATAGCAACCTAGTACTGGATGTCACACTTTATAGTAAAATGAATCTGGACAGAAAGCATGTTCGGATTCGTTGTACTATATATAAAGTGTCACATCCGATATTAGGTTGCTATGGGACGGAGGGAGTACAACTTTGTTGATGCATGGAGGCGTGAACATATACTATGACTATGTTGATTAATCCACTGCATGCACACAAAGATGGACAGAATTTTAATATCTAATAAAAAATTGTCAACGTGGTCAATCTACATGTTGGAAGGCTCGAAATGTAAAAAAAAAATGAAATGAAAATTTACAATGCGCTGAGTTGTGTTGATTCAGGGGCAAGGAATCTTGTAACTAATAGTGTGAAAGAGAATCGACGTTACAGTGGAGCTAGCATGACAATTTGTTGCGTTAATTGATTCGACTCTATCCATCACTTTTTTTTTTGACGGGAAGGACTGTTGCCAGGGCTCTGTCCCGCAGTGTCTTTTCATTAAAGAAGAAAAAAAATATTTACATGTAGTTTAATTTACATAGGAGATAAAAATTACTAAGGTTTGTAACTAATTAAAAACTATTTGCTTTAACGGATCTTTCATTCTGCACATTATCCATCACCTAATTAATTAATGTTGTTCTGCTACTGCATCCATTTTCACTCAGTAGACCGCATCGTTCTCAGTTTCTCACATTATTGCTTGACCATCCGCCTTGTAATTCACAGCAATATACATTTCCATCGATCACAGCAATACATGTTCTTTTTTTTTCGCTAGACCATTGACGGGAATCCGGTCTAGATTTTATAAGATCGAAGAAGGTTTGGTCAGAAAGTGTTAGACTATATTGTTTACATGTATTTATCGAGTCTTATCTCATTTAGTCCCGGTTCCTTTTATATATATATATATATATATATATATCCTCCTAATTTTATTGATATAAATCGGTTGAGTGGTTACGGACGGGTCTTTATGTGCAAAAATACCATGACCAATACAACTGTGTTGAGTCATTCCTACGCACATGGTATCAAATTTGTTTCCACTTCTGCTCCACCACAAACCCTAACCCTACTCCATTAGAGTTCCGAAGAAGCGCTGGAGTTGTTAGCCTTCTTCTCGTTCTAGTACCTCGGCGGATGCTTCTTTTAATAAAGTAAGTATTCGAGATCTTCTTATAATATTTAATTTTTTTGCTTTAGTGAGATGATTCCCGTTGTTGCGGGTTTATCGCTTAGTTGCATTATTAAGTGCTATAGTACTTGGACTCTAGATAACGAAGAAAGTTCCTGCGCGAGGCTAGAGTAGTAATCAATAACTTAGGCGTGGTGTCTAGGTTATTTTCTTTTGTTGTGTGCTCCATGGAAAGTAGGGTGGTCAGCAGATAGTGATAGCTCTATCTGTCCTTCGTATCCCTCCACGTTGAGGTACATCATAGAGCTGTAATCCGAACTCAGCTTGGCAAATCAGGGGAGAGCCACTGCCCGAAGCATTGATCTGATAGGGTTTTACCTTTAACTCAAGACTAGTAAATTAATCCATATGAATTCTCTTTAACCTTAGCCTACTATTAGTTGTTGTTTTTGATAGAATTCTGTTCTTATGTATACACATGTCCCCTGTGATTCGATACCTTTAGAATACTCTGAAGTGAATGTGCTTGTGGATTTATCTGTGACCGTATCAAATACCACCGGTGTATAAGCATTCATACGGACAAAAAGAGTGTCGAGGATGCACTTCAAATATTTCACTGCAGATGAACGAGAAGCAGCTTCATGAGTATATATTTCCATCCTTCTTAAATTTTTCGACGAGAAACATAAATGCAAGCATGAGTCATCACAATTCCTTTGAAAAAAAATTAACAGAGTAAACTTGTTTTTTTATCAAAAAAATTAACAGAGTAAACTTGTTTTTTTATCAGTCCACTTGATTGTTCAGTTTAGGAATCAGCCCAGACGTCATATTGAATTTGTTTTTTTTTCTAATTTACCAAAAACAACATTCCATGTTCATCGGAATATTTTCAAATTGCAAAATTTCAATCTTTCTTGTTTCATGATTATGCATTAGGTTGTTATTGCTGAAACAGCTAGCGAAAGATCAGAAGCAATTACCAGTCTAATTAAGATATTGGTGGTATTGAGTCCCAACTCACGGGTTCTTTAATTTTACAATCCAACTCCATATTTCAGCTCAATAATCTATACAAAATTCAGCCTACGTTTTTGACCCCATCTTTAAATTTTATATGGTAAAAGGATAGACCAATAACACAACCATAATGTTGCTGGCAGCACAAATGCTAAGAACATGCATACATGAAGAATATCTCAATTTCTTGTTGACAGAAATGAAAAAAAAAGATTCAATTGATCTGTGGGTGACATGACACCGGCTGTTCGTTTGGTAAGAAGACGCAGCACGACCTGAAACACATCCACCCTAGTAGTAGATGTCGGTCGACTCTGGTTTTGTATCCTGCATCATGGCTTCCGACGGTGGATATCGGTTAGTTCGTCCTCGCGTACGTATACATATAGGCATGACCGCCACCACGTGGTGGTTCTGGGAATCAAAAGCACTCCAAGCTACTCAATCCCTTATGGTTCCCGGTGCCTTCCAAACCTATGGGGACAGGGGACATAAGGGTTGCCTATTACTGCAATCCATGCAAAGTTGGAGGGGGCAGAAAAGTATGTTTCAATTTGTTTCTCTATTTTTTTTATGCGTAAGAGTATTTATAAGCATTCATGCAAAAAAAAAAAGAGTGCCGAATAAGTAGTTGCACTGTAATAGTTGATAGGAGAGTCTGCAGCTCCATTAATATATATCGCTCACGCATCTTGATTCTTGCAAGAGAAACGTAAAATATCATGGCTTGAGAGAAAAAGGGATAGTGGCCCGCGCTTTACTGCGGGATATATATTAGATAATGGATAAATGATGAAATCATTTGGATCGAAATATTATGAAAATGATGATTTAGCATGTGTATGCTTAGTTTTAGAATGAAGTAATTGTAGATATAATTACTATATGCTTGCATGTTGAGTTTTATGTGTTTAATGGCTTGATGTTGCATGCTTGCATATAGGTTTTAGAAGTGCTAATGAATACTATGCTTGCATGTTGAGCTTTAGATGTTTAGTGGGCATTAGCTTTATAATAAGAAGAGATAAGCCATCAGCTAATTTGTGTATTTTGTTCAATAAGTACGCTCAGCTCATTGGGATTTGTTATCAGGGTAGTTTTTACAATTAGGTACCACATTTTTATACAAAATTTGTTACTCTTAGGTACAAGATACTTTAATATACCAAAATTTTTATTACTATAAAATTTGGGTACTTTCAGATACCCTAAAGATCGCAAAATTTCTCCATTAAGACAACCGCACTTTCCTCCCTAAATCGTTTGTAGGAGTAGTCTGCCCCCGGCTTCAAAGGGAACTCCATCTTTGGAGCCCATGGCCCAAAGGA